CCCATTTTTGATTGGGCCAGACCGTTGGGGTGTAGGCCATGCTACTATTCTTGTTGATTGGGGGTAGACTCTTGTGTGCAGCCTGATGTAACCATTATTGATTGGGCCAGAACGTTGTGTGTAAGAAACCCCGCTATTATTGCTAGTTGGGGTAGACTGTTGAGTGCAGGTGATGTAGCCATTATTGATTGGGCCCGAATCTTGTGTGTTGGCAATACTGCTATTATTATTGACTGGGGTAGCATGTTGAGTATAGTTGATGTTACTATTATTGTTGCTATTATTGTTATTGTTATTGTTATTGTTGTTGTAAGCAAAGTATTTATTTATAAAATAAATTATTGAAAAACTAATAGTAACAAATAGAAAAACAATTATTAAATTATTCATTTTTAAATGGTTATTAATAAATAGTTATGTGATTAGGTAAATTATTTTATATATATATAAAATTATTGTTATTATAAAAATTTATTAAATGTGAGAAATATTATAATAAAAAAAATAAAATTATATGATTATTTGTATGTGAATAAAATAATAAATTAAAAAAAAAAAAATTCTTTTTTATTTTTTTAATATTTATCAATTAATTTTTTTTTTTTTTTAATTGTTTTAGAATTTGAAACAAATAAATTTTTTTTTTTCAAATATAAATTTTTAAAAAATAAAAAATAATTAATAAAAAATAATTAATAAAAAATAAAAAATAAAAAATAAAAAATAAAAAATAAAAAATAAAAAATAAAAAATAAAAAATAAAAAAAAAAAGATAAATAATAATTATAATATTAATTTAGGTATTATAATTTGAGTTAATTTAAATTTCACAATAACATTTTTGATTTGTTTGAGACAAATGAGTTTGAATGAATTATTATCACCTGGTGTGATTGAGAGTGAGCTTTGCTCATTGTTATCTGATGAAATGGTTTTGAAATAAGTCCTAGATTCTAAATGCCATGTCTTTACCATCACAGAAAGAAATATCGGCCGATGAACCTAAACTTTACCAAACTCTTCTTTCCTTCCATTATATTGAACTGAAATAACAGTTGAATCTTCATTTAGTGCCAAAAAATTCACGAGATTAAATAATTTCACTTAATTTCTTTTGCAAAATAAAAACCGAGTTTCCATTAGTATTTGTACTATATCTAACTAATAACAATAAGGATTTTATACATTTTTTTTCATAAATTAATCTTTTTGTTCGTAAAGTGGTGTAATTTGGATGAGATCTGGATTTGTATTGATACATTCAAAACACCTTTTGTTTGCACTATAACTAACAAAATTAACTTTTGGTGTAACATATCCCATCCTCTAAATACACATTCCATTCCAAAATCAGTAGCCCATATAAAGCTTCCTAAGTCATATGAAAATCCAATAATAGACTCTCTATCTAAAAGATTAAAATCATAATTTTCAAAACTTATTAGAAACTGTTGAAATATAGATAGAAAATATTTAATAAAATAAAAAAAAAAATTATTTTTATTGTTTATTTTTTATTTATTTATTTTTAAAAATAGCATTTAATAGTAGTAACAACGGCATCAGTGATAGTGGCACCAATACTCCTTCACTTTCAACCCAATCATCAAAAACTGATTTAACATCTTCAGTTAGCAGTATAAGTAGCAATATCAGTACAAGCAGCAACAGAGTACAAGTAGTAATATTAGCACAAGTAATGTAGGCAAAGGTACCACAGGTAATAGCATTAGTACAAGCAGTAATATTGGAAAAAATGCTACTACCACTACCACCACCACTGTTAGTCATAATAAAACGCCATCTACATCATCAGCATCCTCAATTTCTTCAGGTGCAGCAACTACAATAAGTCCAATTAAAAAAGTTTCACATCAACATACAAACTCTTTATCATCAATACCACCATCAATAGTCGGTGGCAGTGGAAGTGCAGCATCATCTTCAACAAACAGTAACAGCAGTTCACCAAACCTTACATCATTAACACCCTCACCAGTTAGACCATCTTTGAACCACACAGTTTCAGCATCAACATTAATATCCAAATTTAATCAGTTTGAAAATAACAATAATCAATCACCCTCAACTGCGAATTGGAAAAGTGGAGTCGAAAAAAATAAACAAACCCCTGTAAAAAAATCGGTTTCTATATTTGAAAAGAAATCATAACCCAATATAACAAATTAAACATATAAATGGCCTTTCTACTACACACACCCATTAACTGTTTTTAATAATAAAATTATTAATGTATTTTTATAAAACCTTGAAAAAAAATGTGGTGAGGGTGTACCAGAAAATGTATTTTTTTTTGATGAAACAATCTTAGAAAGAGTGTAAGTCCAAAATTAAACAATAGAAAGAGTGTAAACTTTAATAAATTATCAAATGAGGTTATACCAAATATGGATATTCAAGATAATGATGAGGAGGTCGAAGAAGATGCCGAAGTAGTATCAAGACCAAGAAAGAATTCTACAGCATTGTATTTATCAAGAGTAGGACGTAATAGACCCAACTCTTGGAATACTAATAAAAAACAGGCACCAAAAAATCATACATTATAAAAAAAAAAAAAAATATTAATTATAGCTTTATTTGTATATAGGATAATTTTGAAAAAAAGGTCTTAGCTATGGAAACCATAATTGCTAATATGGAATCCAAAAACAATAGCCCAAAAGCTTATCATGATAATAACTTCAAGAAAATTATTTTCTGGTTTATTATTATAGAAATAATATTAGCAACAAATTTAATCAACCAAATTTTTTCATCCGACACTTTGTCTGAAAAGGCAATGAGTTTGGTTTATTCTTTCTTAATTTCAATAATGTAAGTTGTTCATTTTTAATATATATATATTTATTTATTATTGGGTATTAAAATTTATATTTTCATTTTAGAATCTATACTTTTGCAAAATTATATAGAATTACCTGTGTAAAATTAAGAAATTATAATGAAAAAAATTTAAAAAAATTATATTGCGGTCTCGAAAGATTATTCGAGGAAAGAAAACGTGTGACGGATTACGAACACACAAAAAAACTTATCCAAAATTATGAAAATTTTAAAAGAAAAAGTAGGTATAGGATAGTATTTATTATTTAAATATTATTTTTTTTAGATTTTTAATATAATAGATATCAAAAGTTGACATCGTCAATACCAAGCTAATGATGGAGGATGGTAATACAGTTATTCATTAATTAATAATTCATTATTCAATTTTAATTTTATTTCCTCATATAATAAAAATAATAATAGGAATACAACCACCGTAATGTAGCCAAAAAAAAATTGGAAGACCCATTGAACCAAAATGTTCACCATATTAATAAAACAAAATTGATAATAGACCAAGAAATTAAGTAGTTATTAAAGAAAATATCCATAGAGAAGTACATAGAAGCTATTACAATGAAAAAAATTCCTGTTTTAATCATTAGTTACAATAATAAGTAATATTATAACAAAGCTAAACTAACTTTGGATGTCCGTACAATGCAAGTTAAAAGTATTACTATAGTATTATAAAATTAAAAAACTAAAATAAAAGTTTTTGTTTTTTTTTTTATTTCTTTTTTTTTTTTTTTAATTAAAAAAAAAAATTTTATTAGATGTAATTAATTAAATTATTTATATATTGTTGATTGTTATTTATATATTATTAAATGTTAAATTTAGTAGTTATTCTTTTGATTCTGTATTAGATTTATTGGCAGGTGAAGTTGGTACAGCTGCAGAGGTATAATTAAAAGAAACTGGGATTGGAGGTGAAAGTTGTGGTGGTACCAATGGTGAGGTGTTATTATTAATATTAGATGGTGATGGTGGTGTTAAACTATTTGTTGATGATGATGGTGTAGAAGATGGTGATTTCTTTTTAAATATTGAGTTCCAAATTGATGATGAGCTATTTTCTGAATTTAATGTTCTGCCTGGTGTAGTACTACCGCCAATGGTATTACTATTGGCACCGACTAAAGAATTTGGTGATTGATTAAATGGAGAACCTGATAAAATCAATGGCTCGGCTTTAACACTATTATTTAACTCTTTGGTACTTTTTTTAGTATTGTTATAAAGATTTGAAGTTAAAGGAGTTGGTGTAGTATGATAATTGAGTTTATTAGTTGAGGCTGTATTTGAATTATTTGATGTTAAATGAGCACTACCACTATTACCACCACCACCTCTAATAACTCTTGCAACACGAGCACCAGAGTTTTCAGGTTGATTTGAGTTAACTCTTTCGAGCTCATTTTTAATACGTTCAAATTCTACTGTAAGGGTTTGATGATTAATTGCTAATTTATATTGATTCTCTTGATTAATTGCTATAGTATTTTCTAAACTGATAATATGTTCGCCTCTGAGGGTGTGTAATTTCTTTAATCTATCAATCTCTGATTTGAGCTTATTATTTTCATTATTTAATTGGTGTTTTAATGATGTCATTTCGTCAAGTTTTGTTTGAATTAACATTGTCTCTTGATCATTTCCACCTGGTTTATTGGCACGCTTCAAACGGTCAGTGAGTGTAGCATTACGATCTTGATATTCGTCTAAAACCAATTCTAAATCAATAACCTTTTGACATCTATTTTCGAGATCTCTTAAGAGTGATTCTTTGAGGGTACCAAATTCTAAAAGTTTAAGATTTGTTTGTTCTCTTAAAAGATTTAACTCTTCTTCCATTCTTTGTCTTGTTTCCTCTTCAATGTCTTCGATTCTCGATTTTAATTTAGTATTTTCATGTCTAACAGTTTCCAAATGAACCTTTTGTTCAGAGTTTTCTGAAACTAACTTTCTAAGTTGTTCAGCTTGTAACATCATTTCGGCTGGAAGCTCGTCGTCGAGATTTCTTGGATCTACAACAAAACTACTGCTAATTCTTTGACTTTCTAATAATTGTTCGATTTCTAAATCTTTTTGCATTGCTAAATTCTCTTTTGCAATTCTATAACTTTCAAATTCATGTTCAATCTCTTTGATACGATCTTTTAATACTTGATTTTCGGCCTCTAAAACTTGTTCATTATTACTTTGAGCTGTGGTACTTGCACTATTACCGTTGATATCTTCTGAAATATTCAATGAGATGATTGGTGAACTATTAGCACCTGCATTTGAACCACCAACAATCGATTTTGATGATTTTGCTGCTACTGCTTTTGATGGAGTTCTTTGTAAAAGTTTTAACTGTTCTGCTTTCTCTTCCCATTCATCGGCGTGCTTGGAAACAAATGCTGATGGATCCTCTCTATCAGTACGAGAACTTGGTGAAACTTCTGATCTACCAACTGAAGCATCATTACCAGGGTTGGAAGATTGTTTACTGAATTTTTCTTGAAGAATTGTAAATTCTGATTTAATACTTTGATTTTCGGATTGAAGACCTTCAATAGTAAGGGCCTGTTCAGAAATTTCGAACCTCGATTTGTCAAGAATTAATTTCATTTCGGATATTTGAGTATTCAACACACTATTTTCATTTGTAATGGTTTGATAAAGTGATGAGTATTTATTTGCACTATCTCTAAGAGCATTCATTGCCTCCAATTCTTGATCCTTATCTTGAATTTGCTCTTGAGCTATTTCTAATTGTTCTAAAAGTTCTCTCTTCTCCTCTTCTTTTTTAAATAATTGCTTTTCTAATGAAATGCATTTTTCTTGTAATGCTTTTAATGCTTGATCGTTTTCGCTATTGGCAGAAGCACTTGAAGCAGATTGTGAACCAGACGAACGAGGGGCACCACCAACAGACTCCAACTCCTTAATATAACCTTTGAGACTTTCGATTTCGTTTTCTGCTTTTGATAAGAGAATTTTAAGTTCTGCAGCACTTCTTTCTTGATTAATTTTAGCCTTATTCTTAATGTTTTTAGCTCTACTACCAAATCTAAGTGTGGAAACTGTTTCGGCTTCGTTGTAGCTGGAAGGTGAGCAATTTATAATTAATGTAGTTCTACTGTTACCACCCAATGACTCTTGAAGAACACGAGTTAACTTTGAATCTCTGTATGGGATATGTGCTGATTTACCATCAGTCAATGCATTGATTACATTACCCAATGATGACAATGATTTATTAATCATTTTAGCTTCGTCTAATGTTAAACCTTGTGCACCTGTTTTTGAAATCTTTTCTGAACCTGCTAAATCGACCAAATATAATTTACCTGTTTTGACTGATCCTTCTTTTAAATTTTTTTGCTGAATAGTTAAAATAAAAATACTGTGACTTCTAGATGATTCAGCATTCATTTCTAAAAAAAAATAAACAAATAAGTAAATTTTGTTTTGGCACAAATAAAAAGTTGATAAACTCAATACATACTTGTTTCTGCAATAGCTCTATTAGCTTGACCATTTCTAATTACATTTAAGATATCATGTTCACCATAGATATATGCCTCTGTAGTACCATCAACCCAAACACCTTTACCTTTTTCCTCTCTAACCTTTAAATTATCCTTTTTAGCTATATATTATTAAATATTTTAATGAAAAATTAATATTTAAACCTAAATGTAATAGTGTGTTGAAAATCTAAAAATGATAAATATTTACTATCTAACAAATCCCTAATTCTTTCCATATAAATTTCGATATAACTGGCTTTAACAATAAACTCTATATTTTCATCTGCATTTGAAATACATTCAAAAACTGTTTGAATCATTCTAGGAATTACACCTTTAAGTTCTTGATCATCGATTGATGGACCCTGCATTGTGTGAGTTTTACCTATATTATTATTTTATATTAATATTTATCCTTTAATATATTTTTAATTATTTATAAATATTTTACCTGAAGAAGTTTGACCATATACAAAAATAGTACCATTATAACCTGCCATGATATCTTCGATTACTGGTTTTGCAGCATCATCATAAACTTCTTTTTGTGTGCATTGATCATGAAAAACACGATCAAATGTAAATGTATGATTTGATTCTGCACCATTTATACTAACACTTTGATTATCTGCGGCCACAGACACAATTGAACAACCACCTTGTGCTAATTCATTTTTATTTTGAGGTCTAAATCTACAAACTACTCTAATTGATGACATTTTATTGTTACAAATAAAAACCTATTTCCTATTTTTCTGTTTCCTATTTCCTTTTTTTTTTTTTTTATTAAACTTTAATTTTAAAAAAAAAAACAAATAAAAATAAAATAAAAAAAAAAAAAAGTCGTGTGCTTATATAAAAATTATAACAATGTCAATATATACTGTGTGTGTGTATTCTGAATTGTTTTTTTATATAAATAATAAATAAATAAATAAATAAATAAATAAAAAAAGTAGATTGAATTATAATAAATATTTTTTTAAAATATTTATTATTACCTCTTTATTATGTGATTATATATGTTATTATATAAAAATGGGCTTTTTCTTTTTTCCTTTTTTCTTTCTTATGTTGGTTATTAGTATAAGTTATTAGTTATTAGTTTTTATTTTTTTTTAATATTATATATTATAATTGATTGGTAACAAAGTATTATTATTATTGTACTAATTATAATTATTGTGGATTATATAAAACAAAATATATCAACAAATAAATTATTATAAAATTTTTATAAAAAAAAATTTTAAAAAAATAAAATAAAAAATAAAAAAATAATTTTAAAAAAAATATTTTTTTTTTTTTTTTTGATATTATGTGATTTTTAAAACTCTACCATTAAATAAAATAAATAACAATAATAATTATAGTATAATATATACTATTATAATTATTATATTTAAATAGAAACTTACAATTTGGGTTTTTATTATTCCTTTTATTATTATATTTTTTAAATTTGTTGTTTTAAAATTTAATTATTCAATTTTATTATTTTTTCATAAACACACACCACGCATAATAATAAATAAATAATTTTTCTGGGGTGTATTTAAATTATTAATAAAAAAAAATAAAAAAAAAAAACTTTAAAATGGGTGTGTTAAAAAATATCTACAAATAAATATAGAAACATTTTAAAAAAAAAAAACAATTGAATGTGTCTTTTTTCAAATAAAATTTAAAAAATCAATATTTAAAAAAATCAAAATTTATGTTCCTATTAATGATTCCATTCTTATAAACAATCAATAAACTATCAAAATAAAAAGAAACTCTGCTATGGAACAAATGAAATTTCTATTTTTGTGGTATTTGTTTTGAAAAATATAAAAAGTGTAAAAATAAATAAAAGATGTGACAGACGACTTAAATTTCTATTTTTAAATTTTTTTTTTTTAGTTTTTTATATATTTATAATATATCTATAAATATATTATTTTATTTATATTCTTTTTTTGCATATTATTATCGTTTCTATATTACTTTTTTTTTTTTTTTAAAAAAATTTAATTTTTTAATTTTTAAATTCCTTTTTTTTTTTATTTTTTTTTTTTATTTTTTTTTTAGTTGTTTATTTGATTTATTTTATTTGATTTATTTTTGTAACTCTTTTAATAAAGATAATTTGGTGAGACTGTTTCCACTGAATGAATGGATTTGATCGGTGTAGTTATTAATTTGGTTGGTGAGAAGGAGTGAAGTAAGTTTTGATGGTGGATTGAGTGGTTTGATCATTGAAGCTAATTCGTCTTCATCTACTTTTTGACCTTCTAAGAATTTTTGTTGGATATAGTTTGTTTTTTGAGTTTGAATATTTCTTTGATAGGTGTAAACTTTATTGAGTTCTTGGTTGAGAGATTCTAAACTATCGGTCATACCTTCAACGACTTTTTCTAAATAAATATTGTTGCTGATGTTTAATCTATCGAAACTTGATGAAAGGTTATCTGATGCACCATCAAATTCATATAAAAGAGCGTTGATTAATTTGAG